CCCCTTTAAATCATTTGTTATCAGTACACTATGATAATGCCATTACCAGGAGTGGGACGACATCCGTATATTTCTGTTCTTAAGAAAACCGCCTTCGAGGTGCCAACATCCGGGAATATTTGTAAAGTTGTGGTAACAAACGGCTCTTTGAAATGGTACCTTACAACAGTGAAAGCGTCTTTGTTCCCCTTTATGATCTTTAAGAAAGAGAAAAAAAAAGTGAAAAGGAAACTGAAACAAATTAGCAATCACCTTCCCCCGCAAAATACCACGTTACAACAAGTCAGAGAAAGAACTTGCAATTCTTTACTGGAAAGATCCCGCCTTGTTCTCACCGTTAAACATTTTGTATAACTAATGGTTAGTTCTTCTAACACAATAATGTACTTCACCCACACAGGTGCTTAAATCTGGCTTGTTTCCTTAGTAATTACTTGTAATTCAATTTGTTCAATTGTCAATGCCTAAATATTGCTTGTTTGCACGTAACGTCACGGCAGCCATGTTGGTGGTGTGTTAGGGTTCATAACAAAAGCATTTCGTCCCTCTGAGAACTAAACCCTATTTTCATGTAAATTCTTCGATAAAAAATTCTATTGTGTTGTCCACCAACACACCACTAACATAGCCGTCTTATCACGTGGTTGCAAGCCAAGAATAGTATTTGATTATATCTAACCTTTTCTATACCAGACTCTGTATAAGGAACTGGCTTTGCACCAACGAAAAAGCGAAGTCTGTATTGCTTCATCCATTCAGTGTTCACGTTCGCTCCTCCCTGAGTAGCTATAGCAGTGATTTTTAACCAATAGGTTTTACTGAGGTCGATCTGGAAAAACGCCTTTACCGATGTACCCCATGGGAAGCGTCCAGGAAGTTGGCTTTGGTTGACGTAACGAAAGTCGGCCGACGTTAAGTTCTCCGTATGAAGTAACATTCCACAGTCTAAAATTAAAACTAAATTTTACTCTACTCTTGTCATAACACGTGGATGCGTAACTTTCAGGCAGCGTTACAGCCGGCTTACGCATCATCTGAATCACGAGCGGTGTAGAGTATCTGCGATGCAGGTGTAGAATTTTTAAAGGGTCACGAGGTATGGTTGTTTATGGTCAATTCTGTCATAACTAAATTACATTAAAGTGCCCTTACCCATTAAGAAAATTCCTCTGTGTGAGATATCAAGAAGATATCAAATAAAACTCATCATAGCCTGTTCAGTTCAGGTTCCAAGATAGTGGGGAAAGCGTAGCGAGAAAAATTGCACAAACCGCGAAGAGATGGTGAGGGACGGGTAAGTGGGGAACGTAAGCATCGTTTTCAATAAATCATTGCAGTATACCAGCTTTTGGTATACCTCATGATTGGTCAATTTTGACAGTTGGCGTCAAACAGGTTATTAGTGACTTATAATTAAAGATCCAAGGACGCGACAGAGACGAGAACGTTGCTTAAAAGGGATTTCCCTTCTTTCAGTCTTTATCACAATTATTCCTACTTGCTTACTATGTCAAATAAAGGTGAAACTGCTGAAGATGAATTCCAAGGGACCATATCCAAGTTCCCCCCCCCCCCAAAAAAAAACACGCCGTTGCTTGTTTACGTTCTCCATAAAACGCAAAAAATTAGGCATTTTTACGTCCTCGTTGTGAAAAAACGGCAAAGAAATGTACAAAAAAATTGTGATACATGTGCAGAATTGTTGTCTTGCTTATGAAACCTGTCGTTACCAGACATTCTCGTGGCCGTCGCGTCGTTAGACCTTAAAGACCCTTTAAGATCCAACGACGCAACCGCTGGACGAGAACGTCAAAGACAATACAGCACAAATACGCATACACACAAAAAAACAAACAAACAAAGAAACAATAGGTTTAATAAGCAAAAAGCAATAACAACAGCAACAACTTCGCAGGTGCATCACACTTTTTTGTTTAATTTCTTTGCCCTTTTTACACGACTTTGATGTGAAAATGCCTAATTTTGTGTTTTATGAATAACGAAAACAAGCAACGACGAAATTTTAATTCTCTATCTTCAGAGGGAGGAGGTCATTTACGAGAAGAATCGTATGAAGTATTCAAACTTTAGCTCACTCTATAAATACGTGTAAGTTGTTTTATATTTAGACAGCGAAAAAGTCCGTATTTTTTTGCGTATTCAGGTATGCGCAAGCAGTCAAACAAAAGGCCTGGAACCAGGCTGATTTTTTTCTCTCGCCTCACACGCCCTTACGGGCATGTGAGGCTAGCGCGTTTCGCGCGCGTAAGACTTTTATGTCATGCTTTACCGATTTCTTTACTGATTTTAAGAAAAAAACCCGACTGTTTTGCAGTCCATTTTATATTTTACATGTTTTCAAGCATGTTGCATCACTTGGTATCTGACACTTCAATAAGCTTTGAACTAAGCTTTTCCATGATTAGCTGTTGCATCTCATTGACCTTTGATCGTCGAACACCGATTGATGAATAACCAGAATTCGTGCCGTTATGACCGTTCATTTTACGTTGTGTGTTGTCTCGCATTGTCTTTGCCTGAGAATACAGCCGTCTCTCCTCAGTCGCTCCTCATCATTTGCAATTCAAAGCTATGTGTATCTAAGCAATTGTGAATAAAATAGTTTAATTCAATAACAGTCTTGTTTACTGTGTTGTTCAATTCAATTTCAACGTTTATGATCCGCCGTGATTCCTTCTGTTGATACTGGAACTATTAAATAGGAATTTCTTATTCACGTACACAATTATGAAAGCGGTTCTCAACATCAATCGCACCTTTCGGTAAACGCACATGTTCGCCCGCACTTCGTAACCGTTGGTTACTGCTTGTACTATCTTTGTGTTAACACTTACCCAAGCACATTGTCCTATTGACCGACTCCTGGAAACCTTTTGGACATTTACAGGTCTTGTTGTCTTGAGACATTTGGCATTCATTTGGACACTTACAATAGTAACTTTCAGGACTATTGACACACATATGGCTGCAGTTGTTTTTAACATTCTCATTGCGATGTGGAGGCCGAAGCACTGGCGATGTGGAGGCCGAAGCACTGGTCGATACACTGGCTGACACAATAGCAGAGGTAGAGGCCGAGCCACTTGGCGACACACTGGGTGATGTGGAGGCCGAAGCACTGGTCGACAAACTGGCTGACATGCTAGCAGAGGTGGAGGCCGAGACACTTGGCGACACACTGGACGATGTGGAGGCCGAAGTACTTGTTGACACACTGGCTGACACGCTAGCAGGGGTGGAGGCCGAGACACTTGGCGACACAATGGGCGATGTGGAAGCCGAAGTACTTGTTGACACACTGGCTGACAGGCTAGCAGAGGTGGAGGCCGAGACACTTGGCGACACACTGGACGATGTGGAGGCCGAAGTACTTGTTGACACACTGGCTGACAGGCTAGCATAGGTAGAGGCCGAGACACTTGGCGACACAATGGGCGATGTGGAAGCCGAAGTACTTGTTGACACACTGGCTGACACGCTAGCAGAGGTGGAGGCCGAGACACTTGGCGACACACTGGGAGTTGTGGGGGCCGAAGCACTGGTGGAGAAACTGGCTGACACGCTAGCAGAGGTGGAGGCCGAGACACTTGGCGACACACTGGGCGATGTGGAGGCCGAAGTACTTGTTGATACACTGGCTGACACGCTAGCAGGGGTGGAGGCCGAAACACTTGGGGACACATTGGGCGATGTGGAGGCCGAAGCACTGTTCGAAACACTAGCTGACACGGATGCAGATGTGGAGGACGAGACTAGCAACAACAATAATAATTAATAAACTATTAACCGGGTTAAAGAACTACGAAACGGTTAACTGCTTACGAAATAAAATTATATTATTCAAAGCTGTACCTTAGCTTATGCAATTTTTTTTTCGAACGTTTTGGTATTATTCTTAACTCTGGCAAAACACCAATGAATTGCTGTAATAAGTTTTTTTAGGTCTAGTTAAGCAAAGTACCAAACTACGGGAGAAAATTAGATGCTACTTATATACCCAAGCACATTGTCCCTTTGACCGACTCCTGGAAACCTTTTGGACATTTACAAGTCTTGTTGTTTTGTGACATTTGGAATCCATTTAGACAATGACAATAGTAACTTCCTGGACTATTGATACACAAATGGCTGCAGTTGTTTTTAGCATTCTCATTACATTTATCGATACCTGGGAGACACCAAATTGAAATATGACTTGCCATACTGACGATCAATATGGTAGATGTTACTTCACAGGAGTATACAAGGATTATTTTACGTCTTACAATTTTCGACGACTCCAAAAAAAATATAACAACAACAACAACCATAATAATTAAAAAACCAGAAACAGGTAAAAAAAATACGAAATGGTTATTTACTTACAAAATATAACTATAGAAATACAAAGCTACTACTTAACTTATGCCAAACGTTTTTAAACGTTTCGGAATCATTCTTAATTCTGGTGTAATACCACTTAACTGCTATTAATAATAAGTTTTTTTGAGGTCTAATAAACCTAAAATACGAAACCACAGGGGAAAATTAGATACTACTTACCCAGACAAATGGACCTGTTATTAGACTCTTGGAAACCTTTTGGACATTTACAAGTCTTGTTGTCATCAGACATTTGGAATCCATTTGGACACTTACAATAGTAACTTCCCTGACTATTAACACATAAATGGCTGCAATTGCCTTTAACATCGGTATGGCATTCATTTACATCTGTAAAAAAAAAAAAAAAAAAAGAGAGAGAGAGAAAGAAATAAAGTGGTTATAAGTCCTTCACATTAACTGTTTTACTTCTACAGCTGCTTCTACTGCTCAGTACTGTTACTGCAACTGTTTGTACTGCATGGTGCCGCTTCTAATATCACCTCAAACATAATTTGAGATCAGACTCTATTTTCGTTTCCCTTTAACCGGAGAGCCTGATATAAACCTTACATGAAAACCCTCCCCAACCTCCCCCCCCCCTAAAAAAAAAAATTTCTCGTTACGCTTTGCAACAACAGCCTGACAGCCAATCGAATGGTCGCAGGAGCACGGCCCAGATAAGAAGGTCATTATCAGGTTCAATTTTAGCGTAATAGCGTAAGAGAGGATGTATGGGAGCTGCTGAAAATGGGGCTGATCAAAGGTCACCACTTGCACTACCATTTCGTCTACCACTACCGCTACCACCACCCCCATCACTACTATTGCTCTACTAATACCACTTCCACCACCACCACCACTAACACTGCCATCACCACTAACAATACCAGTATCCTGTAAATAACTACCAATAACACTACCAACACCACCATTACCACAAACCCCACCACTAACACAAAAACCACCACTAACACCACCACCACCACTATCACTATCACTGCCACAANGAGGTATGGGAGCTGCTGAAAATGGAGCTGATCAAAGGTCACCACATGCACTACCATTTCGTCTACCACTACCGCTACCACCACCCCCATCACTACTATTGCTCTACTAATCCCACTTCCACCACCACCACCACTAACACTGCCATCCCCACTAACAATACCAGTATCCTGTAAATAACTACCAATAACACTACCAACACCACCATTACCACAAACCCCACCACTAACACAAAAACCACCACTAACACCACCACCACCACTATCACTATCACTGCCACAACGACCACCACTATCGCAAAAGCCACTAACACTACCACTGCCATCACCATTAACAATACCCTCACCACTACCACTACCTTTTATAAAACTACCAATAACACTGCCACCACTAACATAAACTCCACCACTAATTGTTGCTGTATAACAGTATATACGCGAGGATTATTCCATGTATAATGCTGATTTTCGACGACTAGAAAAAAAACATAAACTTTTAACGTCATGTTTAATAACTGATTAAAACAGCAAATTGAATGAACAGATTGATAAATACGAAATTGTTCTTTCATTACAAAATAAAATATGAAGATAATTTACAAGAAATGGAGAGATTTTACGTTTATTTAGAACGTGAACGGTAAGGCGAAAAATTCTAATATGGCCATCTTAGCTTGAGCGAGTTCATACAATTGTCGCAAAGGTTTTAAAGGACGAGAAGTCAGTTTTTTCAGACGGTGAGGTTGGTTAAGGATGGATAAACGTCATTAGTTGTTGTCCTCTTTTCTACCTGCCACACTCTTTTTGATGATACTTACCCAAGCACATTGTCCTGTTGGGCGACTCCTGGAAACCTTCTGGACATTTACAAGTCTTGTTGTCTTGTGACATTTGGAATCCATTTGGACACTTACAATAGTAACTTCCTGGACTATTGACACACATATGGCTGCAGTTACCTTTAAATTTCTGACGGCATTCATCGATATCTGTGAGAGACCAAATTGAAATGTGACTTGTCAGTGTCAATTTTAACTGTTGCTTCATAGAAATATGGGAGGACTATTCTACGTAAAATGAGTTTCCATGACTGGAAAACACGCCAGACATACGCGATGGGCGTAGGCGTGAAAATTATTGATTGTTCCATTCCGCACCCAGACACTACTCAAACGACCAACCAATAACAGTGTTTGGAATACGGAGGAACGTAGGACGTAATAAGGGTCAAATTGATTATAAAACAAAATACGGTATATAGCACCAGTTGATGTTTACTTTCTGTATCTCGAGAAAATTTCGAAATTCTATTCATTCACTAGTTTTAGACTTGCTAGTAAAAATCAGGTGAACAATCTACCTGCAAAGATGAAGGATTATAGCAGTTCTATTTTAGCAAAAAAAAAAATGAATATAATCAAATTTGGAATACATTTTTAAAATAAGTGTAGCTACGCCATTAAGGTCTCGCGCCATAGTTATGGACTAGCGACATAGTCAGTAGTAGTAATGTTGCTATGATCTGGTAAAGCAAAAAATTATAGTGATCTATCTTTTACGCTTAAACGACTTTCAAAATACCGTCGAACCTCTTCACAACGGCCACCTTGGGGACAGAAGAAAGTGGCTGCTGTGGAGAGGTGGCCGTTATGGACAGGTAGGGGTGTAATGGGACCCAATTTGTTCTAGTGCGTACAACATGTTTATCGTGCTAAGTTCATGCTTACTGTATCCCATAATGGTAATCCAATTATAAATAATATATAGAGATAAAATGCACAACAAACTCGAATAGCGTTTTGTATCAAAATGTTAACGTGACAAAACGAACAAGGTTCGCAACATTGACTATGAGTATCGTAGAAAATTTATGATTACGCTGCAGCAGCATAAATGGAACACAGTCAAAGTACGATTACCGCGATTAATCATCAACGTACCAAACGAATCAATTTTCACGACCATTCTTTACTTTCTCGTCAGTTGCTGAAAAAATTCTGGCTGTTGTCGAGAGCTTATTTTGGCAGTTGGGACACGCCTTAGTGGCCGTTGCCGTTGTAGAGAGGTTTAAACAAGAGCCAATGTATGGACTATCTACCGGGACAAAAATTAATGGCTGTTGCCGAGAGGTGGCCGTTAGTGGAAGTTTGACAGTATCGAGATAGAGATTTAAAAACACTTTTAAGGTAAAGGACAGAGATATCCACGTGATCTAGCCTGTCCACAATTTTTTTTCAACTCGGACAGTGTGCGCAAAGCGCGAAAAATAGGAAAGAGAGGGATTGTAAGCGGGCTGGGCTACACGTGATCAACTTTTTTCCCGCCATTCTTCACGTTTGCCGTTTAATTTGACAGGTGAATAGACTGGTCTTCACGTCCAGAAAAGACGCAAGTAAAAACGGACGTGTTTGAAAAATGCTGGTTTAATTTTCATGCTGCTCATAAACAAATTGATAAAGGAAAGTCAAACGCCATCTCAGCTAACAGAAAACCGACTCCCTCCCAGTTGACCATTGAAGATGAATTCCACCTGGATGGCATGGAGGGCTACGTATTTGGGGTATACGCGAAGCTAAAGCACAAGCAGCTTTCCTGATTAAAGACGCCGGGAAAAGGCAAACGTGAGGGAAAACGTGGTGCTTAAATTCGCTACTCCCTGTTAGCAGTAATACCTCAACACAATAACAAGGAAAGAACAGGTAGGATGATTGTGGCAACATTACGAGGGTGACGCTCATCTATGTTGGCACAATTATGAAACCGGCTGCGAGTTTTAGTATTCGTTACAAACCTTGTATTAGATGCTTTGCTTGACAAAGTCGTGGTCGTTTAACTAAGCGAAGCTCTTGTAGAGAAACCCGTCCGAAATGACCGTCATCAAACCTTACTGACACCATTGAAGCAAACGTACTCATTACGATACCAGTTCGGTACCACTCTGGCTTTGCAGGTTTGTGAACAGCTATAACTGACGTTTTGACTGATACTTCATTCCTTTCTGGAACCTTATCTATTATGAGTACTTGATCAGTCCGTTTGTACACTTTATTAAATCCGTTATTGTATTCCAAGATGAACTCAATATGAGTGTAATTTGTCCCTAAGATGAAAGCCTTGTAGTAATTATTTGAGTGATCTCTTTGCGACCACAGTCCCCAAAACATTGAACCCACCAGGATGCAATCTAAACAAAAACAGAACAGAGAGAAGTTACATTTTAAATGAAGGAGACATGAAAGCTAAAAACTTAAATGGGGTGCTAGTTTAAACCATGGGTTTACGGGACTTACATAAGATTCAATGGAAGGCCTAATTTAGGCTGTCGGTTTACTTTGATAAAAAAATTATAACTTACCCAGTGTCACGGTTGCTTAATAAATTCCTTAATTAATATAATTTACTTTGCACAGAACGAACAAATGACACTCAAATTACAATCAAATTACAAAGGTCTTGAAATCTCCATTCCTGTTCTTTTTTTGGTATACTAAAAGTTTTGTTGTTGCTGGATAGATACTGATTTGTAGTGATAGTGACATATATCCAAATGTTTTATAGCTGAAAATTTCTTCTTAACAGCGCGCGCTCTTGTTGGTTAATTCCAGGTAACATGACATCTAACAATGAAACTGTTCCCTGCCAAAATCGCCGAGAGGGCAACATTGCAAAAAATCTATGACGTCTGAGAGTAACAATGCAATGTTATCTGCGAATGTTGACCGACGACCACTGTTACGCTGAGGTCTAATGAATTTCCAGCTTCAAAATTTACAGCTATATAACAAATCACTTAAAGATTGGTCCCTTGGGAAACAGTTAATTTTGTTTCCCTCCAATTTCAATGTTCAAACCGAGGCGCAGCAAAATTAACTGTTTCCTTCGGAACCAGTCATTAAGTGTTTAGTATTTGCTAAGGGAAATATTCTTCGTTAAAAATGAGTCGGGTCATGGACAAGATCTTTGATCATGACTCAATACTTGCCCTCCATAAAGTAGTATTTATTCTACATAGGTGTTCTAGTGTCATTTTAACTTGCATTATTTACTTTCACATGGTTCTTACTGTCTGAATTCTCATTAGCTGAGATATTTCAATTAATTGTGGAAATCAGCGCAACCTACAATTAGTCAGTTTTTTGCTAGCCAATTGCCGACAAATCTGAAGGTCGCGCGAACAATGCACACTGATTTGCAAGAGCAATATCAAACTTTCTTCCGTGTGAAGAGGAACTTGTCGTTATTTTTTCAAACCAATGTATAATAAAACAAGTATTAGAATTGGTTTTCCTGATATCCGCCTCGACCTTGATTATTCCGGATATTAGACGAACATCATCCACTATTTTTTTTATTAAATCATTAGTTATCAGTGCACTATGATAACGCCATTACCAGGAGTAGGAAGACATCCATATATTTCTGTTCTTAAGTAAACCTCCTGCGAGGTGTCAACATCCGGCAAAATTTGTAAGGCTTTGGTAACAAACGGCTCTTTGAAATGGTACTTTACTACAGAGTTAGCGTCTTCATTACCATTTATGATCTTTGAAAAGATACAGAATAAAAGAACAATGAAAAAAGTAACTAAAATGTCGAAACAAACAACCCTCTCAAAAACAACAACAATAACAACAACAACAACAACAAACCGACCAAAAAAGTAAATGTAATGTTAGTTAAAAAGGGCTATGTCACGCTATTTGCAACCTGTTTAAAAAGCTGATGAAAATGAGTCTTCGCATCAATTTAATTCCCTGACGTATGGCCCAGTTTGTTACTTAAGCCATTGAAACAGTTTCCCGTCGACAGTTTCCTCTCGCTACGAACGGAAAGGATGGATATGGATTAAAACTTGAAAAAGGCCCTGGTTTTTATAATTTAATAATTCTGGTTAGTGCTCTCTGGTGAAAATTGTTTGATATCTGGTTCATAAGTATGAGCATTTTGTGCTTCTGTGACAAAAACCAAAGACAGCAATATCCTCGTAACAAAGCCCTTTTAAACCACATACCACATTACAATAAATAAATAAATAAATAAGAAAATTGGTGAACATTGTTTGATATTTGGTTCATAAGTACGAGCATTTTGTGCGTCGATCTGTGACAAAAACCAAAGACAGCAATATCCTCGTAACAATGTCCCTACTTTACCATAAATAAATAAATAAATAAATTAGAAAAGGAACTTGCAATTCTTTACTGCAAAGATTTAAAGTTATATATAATAACGTCAAATTGATTGTACAGCCACTTTTTTTTCTCTTTCTGATTTGCACTTCACTAACGCACGTCCTAATTTAAACGGACTAGATTCATTTTAGTAAAATTCAAGGATTAAAGTATAAATGGTTACTCGAAAAAATTCTGGGCTAAAGGGTGCATTGTTTGTCTTTTCCATTCCCTTTTTTTTTTTCTGGGATGGGTATGGGGGATATATATCACCCCCTGTCAATTGATAGTTATATATATATATATATATCTATTTGGATGAAGTCGGGTGTTCCTATTAGTTCGGTATAAGACTCCAAATGAACATGGCCTTGTGTTGTCGGGTCCTATTTCTGGCCAAACCTCTTATAGTAAGTTTAGGAGAAAAAAAAGTCTTCACCTCACTGGCTATAGCAAGAAAAATACTTTCAGCGAAGGCTTCGCGTGTGCATTAAACTTAAGGGGGCGGTGTTTTTTTCAAGTAAGTCTAACTTACTTGTAGGCAACGGTTTAAGAAATCATTGGCCTCCAGATCTCTTTCTTAAGGGGTTAACCTAAGAGAATAAGTACTTTTCCAGTCCACGCTGAATGCTTTGCTCCAATTGTTTACGAAAAATAGTGTTTAGATAAAAGCGTTGGGCATAATGAAAATGGCTTAGAACGCGGTTTTGTTAAACACGGGCTAAACTCCGTTCAAATAACTGGCCCTAAAGGTCTATAACTATATCCAACCTTTTCTATACCAGACTCTGTATAAGGAACTGACTTTGCACCAACGAAAAAGCGAAGTCCGTATCGCTTCACCCGGTTGTTCAAGTTCGCTCCTCCTTGAGTAGCTATAGCCGTGATTTTGAACCTAACGGAAAAACGTCTTTACTGTTGTACCCAATGGGAAGCGTCCACGAAGCTGGCGTTGGCTAACGTTACGAAAATCGGCCGATGTTAAGTTCTCAGTATGAAGTGACATTCCACAATCTGAAATCATTATTAAAATTTCATTTTACTCTCGTCATAAGACGTTGATTAGGAATTGTTAGTTAGCGTTGCAGTTAGCTTGCGCATCGTCTAACTGACACAAAGCGGATTAGAATGTCTGCGACACGGGCTAGAAATTCTTATCCTCTGGGAAGACTAAGTGAATGTATCGTTAAAAACCAAATATTATAGATACTATAAATGTACGTAAATTTACGACATCACGTGACGTCACATGCATTTTCAAGGGAGTCAGTCATTTCACCAATATTTTAAACAACTGCTGCTTCACCTTTTTTTACCCGCCCACCCGATGTGAAGTTATTTTTTCGGAATATGATGGTGAAATGCTATTTTTTCAGTTTCACTGAAATTTTTCTTTAGAGACAAACATGTTACAGTTATATGTCTGTTGAAGTCAATGTTACTTGGCAGATGACAGCTTAGAAATCAAGATGGCTATACCTGAAACTGTGTTGCCACTACTAGTTTTCTACTACTCTAAAAAGCGATGTTGATTGAAAATTCGACTAATGAATTGTTTTACTTCGAAGAATGACAACAGTTGTGGAGGCCGAGCGAGCGAACGCGAAACTGACGTTCTCGCTCCAGTCATTTCCTAGTCAACAGACGGCGTCGTCGTGAGCTTCGTCGTGGTTCTTAAGTTCCCTAATATTAGGAGCTTAAGCAAGTACGACGACGACCACAACGACGACTTCAAAAAAACAACAGGTTTAATGATCAAAACAACAGCTCTACATGTGCATCACGCTTTTTAGTACATTTCTTTGACGTCCACCGCACGAACACGACGTGAAACGTCCCAACTTGCCGTTTATGGAGGACGTGAACATACGATGACGAATTTGCCTTCCTCTTTTTGAACCTGAATAAAATCCTTAAGAATTCAGCTCCGGGAAAAGTCGCCTACATTTGACATATTGAGCGGGTCCAAGCAGACGCGATTAAGCAAATTCATTTTTTTAACGACGTTTTCACTGCCGTCGTCGTCATCCTTGCTTAAGGTCTCTATTACCATAAGGACGACGAAGATGGTGGAAACAATTCAACTGTCTTTGTGTTATTACTTACCCAAGCACATTGTCCTATCGACCGACCCCTGGAAACCTTTTGGACATTTACAAGTCTTGTTGTCTTGTGACATTTGGAATCCATTTGGACACTGACAGTAGTAACTCCCTGGACTATTGACACATAAATGGCTGCAGTTGTTTTTAACATTCTCATTGCATTCATCAATATCTAGGAGACACCAAATTGAAATATGACTTGTCATTGATATTGTAGTAGTAACCAATGCGGCTTCAGGAAAAATCATTCCACTGCACTCGCGCTAATCGACTTGCATGATAAGATCTCCACGGCCTTTGACCGAGGTGAATTTTCCGTAGGTATTTTACTTGACCTCTCAAAAGCCTTTGACACTGTAAATCATATAATCCTTTTTGATAAACTGGAACATTACGGTATTCGTGGCTTAGCGCTGGACTGGATAAGAAGTTACTTTTCAAACAGAAAGCAATATGTTGAATATAATGGCCACCGTTCGTTAAGAAATGAAATCTCTTGTGGGGTCCCTCAGGGTTCTTTCCTCGGACCTCTATCTTTCTTACTGTACATTAACGACATCAACAATACTTCTAATCTATTAAATCTGATATTGTTCGCTGACGATACCAATGTATTCATGTTACATAAAGATCTGAACTAACACTCAGATATGTTAAACTTGGAGATGGGCAAACTGTCAATCTGGTTTAAAGCAAACAAGCTTTCTCTAAATCTTAAAAAGACTAAATTTATGGTCTTTAAACCAAGACAAAAGCGTTCAATTTGTAATATTCAAATAAGTATAGATAATCAAAATATTGTTGAAGTAAAAGAGACAAATTTTCTAGGCGTAATTTTGGATGAAAACCTAAATTGGAAGTCGGAAATATCACACGTTGCAAGTAAAGTTGCGAAGTCAATCGGTATAATATCTAGATGCAGCTTCTTTCTTCCTTAATCGTCTTTACGTATGCTCTACTATTCCTTAATTTATCCTTATTTTCACTACTGCAATATCGTTTGGGCTTCGACCTATAAAACCAATCTCCGCCGCCTTGTTATCCTGCAAAAGCGCATTATTAGAATTATTAATAAATTACATTTCAATGCTCATACTGAACCCATCTTTAAGGAACTCGGTATACTAAAATTTAATGATATCCATTTGCTTCAACTGGGCCAATTTATGTATTCTTGCAAAAATTCATTCTTACCTCCAAAGTTTAATAACAATTTCTCTCAAAGCAATCAATTCCACTCTTACAATACAAGAAATTCCCAGGCCTACCGTCTACCGTATTGTCGTACAAACACGAAGAAGTTCTAGCCCTTTTTTCAAGGGCCTAAGTTTTTTTTAATTCACTTGACAACAAGGTCATCAACTCTCAATCCCTCTCCTCTTTTAAGAAAAAAATGAAGATTAAATTATTAAGTAAGTATGAAAAAAATTAATAAGTCGTTCCATCTTCGACTTTTCGCCTTGTTTTCTCTAAATTGATGTGAAACAGTTCTAGCTCATAGTTCGAGGAGGCCTAACCTCTCAAAAGCTCCTCTAGTTTCTGTTAGGGCTCCTCGCCACTTCTTTTTTTCTTCTTTTCCTATATTTTTTGTAATTATTGTGTGGCAAATAAATAAAAATAAAATAAATTGACGGTCAATATTTAAGATGTTACTTCACAGCAGTAGGATTATTCTACGTCTTACAACTATCGACGACTCCAAAAAAAAAAAAACATGGCAGAAATCGGCAAAATCTTTTCACTTAATTGACAGTTTATTCTTGAAAAAATACATAAATAAATGAATATGTAAATAAAATAACAACAACAATAATATTTGATAAGCCATGAACAGGTAAAAAAAAAGCGAAATGATTATTTGCTTACAAAATATAACTATAGAAATTCAAAGCTACCACTTACCTTACAAATGTACGCCAAATCTTTTCAAACGTTTTGAAGTCACTCTTAATTCTGGTAAAGTACCGCTTAACTTCTATTAGTTTTTGATCGTTTTGGTATCATTTTTAATTCTCGTGACATAACACTTAACTTCTATTAACCATAAGATTTTTTAGGTCTAATAAACCTAAAACATGAAACTACAGTGGAAAATTAGATACTACTACTTGGTCCTGTTATTCGACTCCTGGAAACCTTTTGGACATTTACATGTCTTGTTGTCTTGAGACATTTTAAATCCATTTGGACACTTACAATAGTAACTTCCTGGACTATTGACACACACATGGTTGCAGTTGTTTTTAACATTCTCATTGCATTCATCAATATCTGTAACAGACCAAATTGAAAAATGACTTGCCAATTAGAATTTCAGTGGTTACAGCAGTATACAAGGATTATTTTGCGTCTTATAATTTTCAACAGTCTGAAATAAAAACTATGACAAAAATCAAAATCTTTTCACTTTATGGTCAGTTTATACTTGAACAAAAAATAAGAGCAACAACAATAATAATTAATAAACCATGAACCGGCTTAAAAAAGTACAAAATGCTTATTGTTTACAAAATAAAACTATAGATATTCAAAGCTATACCTTAGCTTATGCCATATTTTTTCGAACGTTTTGGTACCATTCTTAACTCTGGCAAAACACCAATGAATTGCTGTAATAAGTTTTTTTGGGTCTAATAAACCAAAGAACGAAAGTACTATAGGAGAAAATTAGATGTTACTTACCCAAGCACGTTGTCCCGTTGACCGACTCCTGAAAACCTTTTGGACATTTACAAGTCTTGTTGTCCTGTGACATTTGAAATCCATTTGGACACTTACAATAGTAACTTCCCTGACTATTGACACATAACTGGCTGCAGTTGCCTTTAACATCGGGATGGCATTCATTTACATCTGTAGAAAAAAAAAGAAAGAAAGAAAGTAGTAATAAGTCCTTCACATTAACTGTTCTATTTCTTCAGCTGCTTCTACTGCTCAGTACTGTTACTACAACTGTTTGTACTGGTGCCGCTTCCAATATCACATCAAACATACGGCTCTCCCTTCCCCCTCCCACCCCCGAAAAAAAAAAAAATCGTTTCGCTTGGCAACAACTGTCGCAGGAGCACGGCCCAGTTAAGGGACTCATTATCAGGTTCAATTTTAGCCTGATAACGTAAGAGAGAATGTATGGGAGCTCCTGAAAATGGGGCTGATCAAAGGTCACTACTAGCACTACCATTACGTCTACCACTACCGCTACCACCACCCCTATCACTGCCACAACCACAACCACAACCCTCACCAATACTATTACTCTTAAAACCACCAATACCACTTCCACCACTAACACTGCCATCACCACTAACAATACCCTTACCACAAGCACTACCAGTAACCTTTATAAAATTACCAATAACACTAGCACCACCACCCCCACATTAAACCCCACCACTAACAATACCACCACTACCACTATCACCACTACTACCACTACGACCTTCAATACCACAAAAACTACCACTAACACCACCAGCACTTCCACTACCACTACCAATACCACAAAAACCATTACTAACACCACCACCACTACCAATATCACTACCACTATGACCACCAATACCACAAAAACCACCCTAACACCACCACCACCACTATCACTACAACTACCAATACAACAAAAACAACCACGAACACTACTACCACCACTACCACTCTTACTATCACTACCACTACCAATAAAACCACCAACACCACAACCACTACCACTATCACTACCAATATCACAAAAACCACTACTAACACCACCACCACCACAACTACGACTACCACTATCACTACCACTACTACTACTACAACTTTCCACTACCACATCCACTACCACTACCATTACCGCTACCACTACCACTCCCACTACCATTACCACTACCACTACCACTTCCACTACCATTACCACTACCACTGTCACTACCAATGCCACTACTACTACCACGCTTCTTGTGCTCCAAATACCAACTCCTCTACAAAAAAAGTGACGAAATTATCAAGACAACGATACAAAAAGAAATCAGAAAAAGAAACAGGTTTGGGAAGCAAAATTTACAATTCTTCTTATCTATCACGCTTTTCGTTTATTCTTTTTTTGCCTTTGACTGCACAACTAAGACATGAAAAAATCAAAATTTACGTTTTTACTGAGAACGTGAACGGCAAGGCGGAAAACTGTGCTGCATCAACTTAAGCTCGAACGAGTTGAGAACTAATTTTCATCTCGCGAAGATTTGAACGATGTTTTTATTGGCATCTTCGTTGTAAGGTCGTAAAATACCTACTGTTACGATAAGGACAACGAAGACGGTGAGATCAATTCAACTAAAAGGCATCATTACCAGCCACTCTCTTTGTACCGGTACTTACCCAAGCACATTGTCCTGTTATTCGACTCCTGGAAACCTTTTGGACATTTACAAATCTTGTTGTCTTGAGACATTTGGAATCCATTTGGACACTTACAATAGTAACTTCCTGGACTATTGACACATAAATGGCTGCAATTGCCTTTAATTTCCTGATTACATTCATCGATATCTGTAAGAGAACAAATTGAAATATGACTTGTCAATATCAATTTTAGATATTACTTCACAGCAGTATAACAGGATTGTTATTGGTCTAATAACTTTCGACGACTTAAAATATAAACTACGACAGAAATCAAAATCCTTTCCCTGTCAGTTTATACTTGAACAAAAAATAATAACAACAATAATAATTAATAAACCAATTGCCGGGTTAAAAAAATAAGAAATGGTTTTCTGCTTACAAAACAAAACTATAGATATTCAAAGCTGTCCCTTAGCTCATGCCAAAAGTTTTCGATCGTTTTGGTATCATTTTTAATTCTCGTGACTGAACACTTAACTTCTATTAACAATAAGATTTTTTAGGTCTAATAAACCCAAAGTACGAAACTACAGGGAAGAATTAAATACTACTTACCCAGGCAAATGTTCCTGTTTGCCGACTCCTGGAAACCTTTTGGACACTTACAAGTCTTGTTGTCTTGAGACATTTGGAATCCATTTGGACACTTACAATAGTAACTTCCCTGACTATTGACACATAAATGGCTGCAGTTGCCTTTAACATCGGGGTGGCATTCATTTACATCTGTAAAAGAAATAAAAGTGGTAATAAGTCCTTCACATTAAATGTTCTTCTACTACTACAGCTGCTTCTACTGCTCAGTACCGTTACTGCAACTGTTTGAACTGGTGCCGCTTCCAATATCACCTCAAACATAATCTGAGGTCAGACTCTACTTTGGTTTTGCTTTAGCTGGAGAGCCTGTTATAAGCCTTCTATGAACTCGTGCCACTTGGCAACAACAGGTTAACAGCCAATGAAATGGTTGCAGGAGCACGGCCTAGTTGGCTTTTTATCAGGTTCAATTTCAGTGTGATAGCGTTAGAGAGAATGTATGGGAGCTGCTGAAAACGGGACTGATCACAAGTTACTACTAGCACTAGCACTAGCACTAGCACTACCTCTACCACTACCACTACCACCACCCTCACTACCAATATTGCTCTTAAAACTACTATCTTCGCTACCACCACCAATGCCATTCCCTATACCACTTCTGGTAGCACAACCCTCTACAAAACTGCCAATAACACTACCACCATGCACCACCACTAACACTACTACCACCATCAACACTACCACTACCACTACCATTACCACTACATCTACCCTACCACTGCCACTAGCATGCGTACGTCCACGACCCCAAGTTGTCACAACCATTACCACTACAGTGGAAACCAAATAATACGGACACCAATGGGACACACGATGTGTCCGTATTATCCGGGTTTTCAGAAAAAAAAGTATACATTTTCACGAGAAGAGTTTTATTTCTAAGCTTTAACTGCAACAAGCTCATCCTTAAAACAACCCTACGATCACGATCTTTTCTCACAGTATCGGACTAAACTTTGCTTATAAGTCAGTGTTCTTCAACTTAACAGACCTCCACGACAATGGAGTTCGTGACTTTACTTTGTATTGACGGGTGGACTGAGTACCAGACAGAACCTTTTAAAGGTCATTTGCTGTTTCAGAGAGGTTATCACTGGTTAGATACTCATTCATAGAAAAAGCGCAGTTGAATAGTGTCCGTAAAACGGGGTTGACTATATATGGGATTTTGTGACTCGGGACACTGAAAAGTGTCCGTTGTCCCTATTAACTGGTGTCCATATTTAGCGGGATAATTTTAGGGAAACTATGGGAGAAAAGAAACTGTCCGTGGGGTTGGTAGAGCGGGGTTCCAACTTATAACTACCATCATCATCACCACAACAACACGACTCTCACTCAAACTATCACTACCACCACTACAACTTCCACAAAATATGAGCTTTTCGACTGAAAAAAAGAAACTGTCCGTGGGGTTTGTAGAGCGGGGTTCCAACGTACAACTACCATCATCAACACCACAACCACCCGACTCCCACTCAAACTACCACTACCAACACCACAACTTCCACAACCATTACTACTAACCACTACTATTACCAGAACCACTACCATCAACACTTCCACTTTCACTAATACCACCTCTGCCTCTTGAGATAAAAAGAAGGTTTAGGGATCAAGACAAATTAGTACATGCACACTCAGTGATCTTGGTGTTTTAAGCAATCTGACCGTTTCGCTATCTCGGACTATTCAACATTAGTAAAATCCAACTAGTGGTCTATTATCAATGCTGCGTTCTGATTAGTTGAGCTACTACTTAGGCTATATGTTATAGCCCACTAGTAGCGAAAAGCGCTAGCTTTGAAAACCAAAACAATGGCGGCGGAATCACCTTTTGCTAGCTAAAATTGTTTTGTCTTGATATTTTTTACCAACTAGTTAGATTTTACTAAAACAATTATTCCTCTCGCCCTCATGGCCTCTGAGTTAATAGCCCATTCGGGCTTGAGGAATAATTGTTAAATATTCACCTCCGAGTGAGTGGATAATGCGTGAGCTCGGTATATTTCATGTAAATAGAACAAAGAACACTACAGAAAAACGACCCCTTACCTCAAGTAACTCAGCCGCAATATTAGCATCATGCAGAGAACGACACAAGAAATCTTTTTCACTAACTTGGCAAAGCTCTAATTTTCGCCTCAGGTAAGGAAGCAAGTTAAACTTTTAACGGTCCATTTAAGCCCTTACGTTGTTTTTTTTTTTGCGAAATTGCGAATTGCCATGTTTGAAAATTCTGCAAAGATCTAACTTTTGCGCATGTACTGTATAAAACTGCAGCTACATGCAAATTTTTCACGCATGATTTGATCCGTCAATCAAATCGTACTTTTGAACGGTTGGCTTTAAGAATATTTACCTCGATTTCAAAGAATAATTGTTAAATATCTGCTCATCTATCACTCTTTCTCTGCGTTCACTTCACAAGAAATGATTGGATTTTATATTTTATTAAGAACGTGAACGGCAACGCGACAAATTTTAGTGAATCCACCTGAGTCTTAACGAGTAAATATAATCTCGCAAACATTTTGAAGCACGAAAACTCAGTTTTTCAGCGATGTTTTAGTTGCACCGCCGTTGTCAAAGTATCAAGTCCGTACTATCATGACCAGGACGACAAAAACGTCGATGTCAGCTTAACTAAAGAGCCGGAGGAACATTAACTGCTGTTGTCCTCATTTTTTACTGTCACTGTCTTTGTGTTGGTACTTACCCAGGCAACTGGTCCTGTTTACCGACTCCTGGAAACCTTTTGGACATTTACAAGTCTTGTTGTCTTGTGAGAGTTGGAATCCAATTGTACAATTACAATAGTAACTTCCTGGACTATTGACACACGTATGGCTGCAGTTGTTTTTAACTTTCTGAATACATTCATCAATATCTGTGTGAGGGCAAATTAATACAAGGTTACGTATTTCTAACGGAATATGACTTCTCAATGACAATTCTAACAATTGCTGCATAGCATCAAGTACGCCAGGATCATTCTGCGTCTATTAAATTTCAACGACTTGAAAAAAAAAATGCTTGTATTATTTTGACTGAATAAAAAAGTTAACGAAACAATGAACGGATTGTAAAAATACAAAAATACGAAAAAACACAATGAAGAACTTTAAAGCTATATGTACCCTTAAGCTTATGCCAAAAGTTTTCGGACAACTTTCGAGGATTATCAAGATAGCAATGATCAATTTCAGTGATAAAAGTAAAGTGACACGATAATGAAGCTTTATATGACGAGGTTTATGGCCTAAATTCTTGTTCCTATAGGACCAGTACATTTTGGAAAAGACTAGGCTATTTTGTTATATTTTGAAAGGGTGAAAGAATAAAATATAAAAGCCAGCAATATGTGATCAAAAAACATTTGCATTAATTGTATTACCCTCGCAGATCCCCTTTTTGTTCAACTGAAATCCTGTTTGGCATTTGCAATAAAAACTCCCGACGGTATTGATACAGTTGTGGCTGCATCCACCGTTGTACTGTTCACATTCATTTACGTCTGCGTAAAGAATATATAATGAAAAAATCGATAAATAGTGAAAAAATAACTGTCAAACTAACCAAACAAAAAACGACAACAACAAAATAATGATAATAATAATAATGATGATGATAACAATAACAAAAACACAAAACAAAACAAAACAAAACAAAATAAGAAAAAGAACACTGGCAAGCAAATAATGAAATAATAGTCGCCTTTGGAAATGTCGGTTTTTTTCGTTGCTTGTCAATGCAGGGATCAGCAGAGGGATTTATCTCCTCAATGCTATCAAATTATTTCCGTAAATTGAGAAGATCAAGAGAGGACAAGAGTAATCATTTGAAATTTCTCAAATTCCGAGACACATAAACTGCAAAAAGGGCATATTTTCATAACGTATGACATTACTCTACGACCAATCAGCAAATTTAGTCACAGCAGTAC